ATAATTACGCCATAAAACTGACTAAGAATCCTTAGTCTACAAGTGTGATGGACTGCATGTTTGCATGCCCCTCAAAATTCATACAGTATTTTGAAATCCTAACCCTAATTAGGAGATGGGGCTTTAGAAGGTGATAACAAAAATTCCATAAAAGTCTATAATTTGAGCCTAATCTTTTTAAAAAATTGTTGAGCCATCTAATTGAGATAAGACATTGAAGGGGTTACTTTAAGATGTTCATTGATGATTGTCACTTTCTCAGATTCTTGGTAATTAAGTTGCTGATGAATAATAAAATGACTTCTTAAAACACCTGGTACATCTTCTAAAAGATGTCTCTAAATTTATATTACTGGTGTTCCATCTGTTAAGTAAGCAATGATGTTGGAAAAGGATTTTTCCTCTTTAATGAACTTTTTGTCCTACCTTATAACAAAGATTGCTTGTATAATGCAATTTATTTCAATATATTTTATTATTTTTTAAAAGCAGTACTGTGATGGAATAAAACTATTTATTTATTTATTTGCATCATCTTTGTAGTAATCTCTTACATAGCTGATACGTCTTTTGAATATTGCTTGGCTTACCATATTGCATGACTATTTATGTTGTTCTATAAAAACTGGGACATCTAGTGATTTGGTAGGTAAACCAGCTGGATCCCATGTGGCCCACAGCATGGTTCAAGACCCTGACCCATCGGCTTGAAAAACATACCAGACATATGTATGTGCAGACCCCAAACCTCAAAAGGTGAAGGGATTGTGGTGTGCCTATCCTCGTGGAGGTGCTTTCTCACTTTCTCTCTCTCTCTCTCTAGTGAGTACATGCCCCATATAAAAAACTTAAAAAAAAAAAAATACCTCCGTTTGCAGGGAACATCGTCAAACATTCCAGTGACTATATTGCAAATTTCAGTGTTCCTAAAGTATCAAAAATATATATGCATATGTATCTTTGCCAATTTGATCAACATGTTCTTTTGTAAAATGTTCACTTAATCTCAATGGGCTCTTTGGCTTAATTAGAAAAAAATGCGTTGGCAGAGTAGACACACTGGTGACTGTTCATTTGTGCAAAAAAACTGTAAAACCTAATTTTGAATATTTAACAGAGTATTTGCCCACATTTTAAATTTGTACTTGACATTTTGAAATAATAGCTAAATGAGGAAATTTGTACATTTACTTGGAATCACCATGAATGCTACAGTGACAAATGCAGACTTACTCAGGTGTGTTGTACTGGTGACTCAGATATAACCCCAGTGCTGCCCTTGGTGATGTGATATTGGTAAAGTTCTGAACAAAACCAAGTACATTCTTTCCCCAATTTGTATGATATTTATAGCTGTATACACTTAATATATATTGGTACCATGCAAAACACTTTTAGTCTTGCATACAATGAAGTTTGAATCTTAACTCAGATAATTATAATATTTAAAGACTGGACACGATGCCTATAGTTGTTTTTGTTTGCTTTTTGTTCTGGAACAGCATCTTGTGCATATTGCATTTTTTTTTGGGCCTGCCCGCTGAATATCAATTGTATTTTCCCAACCCCCAATCTTAAAACAATTAAAAATATCCCTTACATTTGAAACTGCCTCTTGGGAGCTATGTCACCTCTTCTGGGAACTAATAGCTTAGAGTGTAATAAGAGACAACAAACATGAGGGTACTCCAGAAAGTTTGTAGAACAATGGAACCAAAGTATGAGTTTATTTTGGTGCAAAAATTTTAAAAAACCAGGCATAGTTATTTTATAATACATGTTTTTCATAAATTTTTTGAAGATCCCTTGTATATAAGAAAAATAAAAGATTACAGTATTGTGAATACACTGGTAATTTTTACTAGATGACTTCAGAAGGACTATGGAAGAGGCAAACCTTGGGCCAGCCCCATGTGCAGTGGTCAAGGAGCTGGATCCTACATGGCCATATTTGGTTCAAGTTTCAGCCCCAGTGATGTGAAAAACATGCAAGGTGTGACCAGAATCCTGAGGGGATGAAGAAATGGAGAAGATGAATTGCAGCATGACCACACCATTTTTTGTTTTTGTTTTTGTTTTTGTTTTTGGTGAGGTTTTTGCTATAGGGCATGTGCACTCCCCAGAAAGACAGAAAGAGACAGAGACAGAAAGTGAGAAATCACCTCCTAGGGGGGAAGACCACACTGCAAACCCTTCTCCTCCATTCTCCTCGCGGGATCTTGGGCACGCATGTACACGCTCCTGGAATGTGGGTCCAGGGCTCAAACCACAGTCAACTACATGGGAGTCCAGCGACATAGCCATGACGTCAACTGCTGGTCCCATGACCACACCATATTAAAGGACTTTTTTTTTTTCTCTCTCTCTGGCAAGCATTCTTGCCTTCTGAGAATAAAAAAAAAATTAAAAAAATTAGAAGAGGTGAGCCGTATGAGATCCACATAGTCTAGGATAAAAGGACAAACTGGCAGAATGGCTATGTGATAATCTTTATAATACTTGAGGTCTGTGGGACCAGCAGTTGGCATAATGGCTATGTCGCTGGACTCCCATGTAGTTGACTGCTGTTTGAGGCCCGGACCGGGTGGCTTAAACTCATGACAAGCGTGTGTGTGTACGTGCCCAAGATCCTGAGAAGAGAATGGAGGAGAAGGGATTGCGGCATGGCCATCCCCCGGGGGGGAGGGGGTGATTTCTTACTTTCTGTCTTTCTCTGTCTTTCTGGCAAGCACATGCGCCCTATAGCAAAAACCTCTTCACAAAACATAAACAAACAAAATTTGAGGTCTGCAAATAGGATGCAGAGGTGGATTTATCAAGAAATAATTCAAGAAGATACATAGAAACCAGGTCTTGGAAAGACTTGCCTTCCATGCTAAGGAATTTGGGGGCTCTGTGTGTGTGTGTGTGTGTGTGTGTGTGTATGTGTGTGTGTGTGTGTTTGTGTGTGTGTATGTGTGTGAGTGAGAGAGAGAGAGAGAGAGAGAGAAAGACTGCACACGTGCATGCACACCCAGTTTTCACTAAGGACTTGACATGATCAGATTTCAGATTTGCTTTTTAGGGAAGAATGGATTAGAGTGACACAGACTGGGAGGCAAGAAAATCAGTTGTTTTACTATTGAGTCACTAAGAACAATTTTAAGATTATACCAAGTAATCTCCTGGTTCTTAACCCCCTTGAAAATGTCATTTTTAGTATTTTCTTTTTTCTTCTCTCAGACTTTTTGAATAATTTGGAAAATTTTGAATCACTGTTCATGACCTAGTAATAACTAAGCATCTTCCCTATGTCTAAAACCCTCCATAATATCAATTAGACCTTAGTACATTTTCATTTCTTTTGTGTATCTATAGGTCTTTGAGATGTCATTTAATTGAATTTCTCTTTACCATGTTTCCTAAGATTTCTGCCTTACTCCTAAGGATGCTTTCTTTAGCTTAATGTATCTCTTTCTTTACTTTTATTTTCCTTCTGCTTATGTTCTGATATTAAAAGTGATGGGTTTTTAATTATTCCAGTTTTTCTGTGATATTTTGAGCAATTACATTTCCTACAGATAGTATTTAAAAACTATCAGCCTTTTTATATGCCATTGAGATAACAATAATTTCTTTTAGTTATTTCTCTAGTGTAATCTAAGAAGATAGAGAATTTTTTCAATGATAGCACCCATTTGTTCTTATTGTTTTATTAACAAAATCTATGTTCATGATTGAATCATAGCTGAAGCCTGAAATCTAAAGCCTTGGTTCGAATTTATGAAATTAATAGACTGAAGACCCACTGAATTTGCATAGCTGGGGTGACCCAAAATTGTTAACTAGTCATATGAATTCAAGACTAGTCCCTCTTAAGTTTTCTCCATGGCTATGAATGCTAAAGAATGGGTCAGTGAGATCTGGTATTACCAATTTGAGCCCTATTCTTAATCATTTAAAGCTGGAATCTCATGCTACTGGTCTGTGATCCATGTGGAACTTAACTTCTCCACAGAACTGGGTGAAAAAACCATAGTAGAAGCAGAATAATATGCTGAAATTCCACTTTTTTCCACTTTTTTCCAAGGTAAGACTTCAATGGGCCTCTGAAGGCTCTCTCCTGACAATTTATTCTCTCTTATGTCTGCATTCAGAGGCCTACCCTTGCATATATTGTTCAAGGTCATTTGCAGCTGCCCACAGCCTAAGGTAGTTTTTCAGTTTGAAGCCATTTGCTTGCTAAGGCCTGTATGGCTAAGGCCAGTGAAATCATCTGACGTGGTTAATGTCTGGAGTCCCGGTATGTAGAAAAAGCTCCTGACTGTTGTACAAAGCCACCAGACTAATCTTTTTTTTTTTTTTTTTTTTTTGAGAGGTTTTCACTATAGGGCGCATGCGCTCGCCAGACAGACAGAGAGAGACATAGAGACAGAAAGTGAGAAATCACCCCCCGGGGGGATGGTCATGCTGCAATCCCTTCTCCATTCTCCTCTCGGGATCTTGGGCACGCATGCACACGCGCCCGGCGTGAGTTTTAAACCACCGGGTCCGGGATGCGAACCGTGGTTGACTACATGGGAGTTCAGCGACATAGCCATTACGCTAACTGCTGGTTCTCATCCACCAGACTAATCTTTAGGCCATCTGAGACTTATGCTCACTCATCCAGGCTGAAGCAGCTGAAAGTCGACTTCAGAACAATCAAGTATAAGGTATAATATTGTCTGTGAAAAACTGTCAAGATTTCAGATGCCAGCATGGCCGGAGCTTGATATAGTTCCTACAGAAGTTAAATTGTAACAACCAAATTCCTGTAACCTTCTGAAGTTTTGATCTCCATGCATTCTAATTTGGGTCTCCAAATTCACCCAAAGTGCATGGCAACAATAGAATTCCTGATGCTGAACCTCAGAACCAGATAGGCCTGCCCTTCCCGAGTAATCTCGGCATTTTTCTTCTTTCCCTGTTAGGGACAGAGCTTCTGCACTGAGCTAATGCTAAGGCTGAGAGAGGCTCACAGTCCATGGTCCAAGCAGGCAGGCAGACCCCAGAAAAAGAGGCAGAAAGAGGATGAGCTAGAGCTCCCAGATCTGCTGCTTGAATTACTTCCTCTGATTCTTCCATAAGTGAGAGGCCAGGGGTATATCGTAGATCTGGAAAGCAATATAAAGCAAAGTAGACCCACTGCTCCATCCCTAGTACCTACTCTCAACTTAAAGGATTCTATAACTGTTTCTAGCTTTTCACATTATGGTATATGGGAAGAATTTTTTTTTTTATTTTTTAGAGATATTTTTGCTACAGGGCATGTGTGCTCACTGGAGAGACAGAGAGAGAGACAGAAAGACAGAAAGTGAGAAATCACTCCCTCCTGGGGGGATTGGCATGCTGCAATCCCTTCTCCTCCAATCTCCTCTCAGGATCTTGGGGACTCATGCACATGTGCCCAGTATGAGTTTTAAGTCACTCGGTCTGAGACTCGAACCACCGTTGAGTATGTTGTAATCCAGTTACATAAACATTATGCCATCTGCTGGTCCCAGGACATTTTTAAAATATTTTTTTCCTTATTCATGATAAGCATGTGCATGCATGATGGGTGAGGGGGAAAGAGAGAGAGAGAAAATACCCTTCCCCAGAGTCTGGTCATGCCACAATTCCCTTTCTCCAGCTCTCTAGCTCAGCAGGACCTTGGATGCATGCACACACACCTAGCATGTTTCAGGCTGTCTGGGTGAGGTCATGGATGACCTGCAGTCATCCATGTGGCATCCAGCACTGCAGTTTAGCATGATACCTATTGTGCCACTGAGGCTGGTCCCAAATAGTTTATTATTATTATGATTCTTTAGCTCTCTTGTTCCATCCCCAACACTCAGTTACTGGAATCTGTTCGTTTTTGGTTGTTTTACTCTCTCCAGACCTCACATGATTCTCCACAATCCATAGTTTTTACTTTGATTTTATATCTTGTTATACCTGGATTGTTACAACATCTCCAATTCTTCCCCTTCCCTTTTCCTCTCTACATTCTTAATTTTGAATCTCTTAATCAGTTGAATATCTGCAACTACTTATTTTTGTAAGTCTTTATCTTCACATGTGCACCCATAAATGCCACTCTGGGAATGGAATTCTGGATTGCATTTACCCCTTCAAAATCTTTATAAATTTGCCCACTTATGATGGCAAAGGTGAATTGCCTTGCTTTGCAGTGCTTTAGCTACATGGTAGACTGCAGTTCAGATCTTAGGTTGAATTGAAATACAAAAGGAGTGTTCCTATGATCTTGGCTGGCTGGAAAGCCGGGAGTGGGTGTGGGGAAGGAGTAATGGTGTGATGAAACCCTGTTTTTTTTAATTTAATTTATTTATTTTAGCTTTTTATACATTCAGTCACATTATTTAGCTTACAAAGCGAACATATGAATATGTGAACATTTCTCCCTAGTCCAGTTGATCAAAATATCTTCAACAAATAACACCACACCTCCCCATTCTGTCAATTCTCTCCCTCCGTATCCCTCCTCCAAATGTCCTTCCCCAGGCCCCACTCCTCTACACACCCCACATCTGGCATTCACACCTATATCTTGTGTTTGTACATCCTTTAGTCAATCATTTTCAGTCATAGAATGCAGACACTCAGTATATATTAAGTGGGGGCATACGATGTCTCTCCTTCATAGCCTGGCTTGCTTCACTCAGTAGTAAATCTTCCATATTCTTCCACTTTCTGTCAAAAGCCAGAGGTTTTTTTTTTTTAATTTAATTTTATTTATTTATTTTTTTATGGCTGAATAGTATTCCATAGAGTATATGTGCCACAGTTTTTCAATCCATTCTTCTGTACGGGTGCATTTGGGTTGGTTCCATGTTTTAGCAATCGTGACTAGTGCTGCAATAAACATCGATTTGCAAGCACTTTTCTGATGAAGAATTCTTCTGTCCTTTGGATAGATACCAAGGTGTGGGATTGCTGGATCAAATGGTTGTTCTATTTGTAGATTTTTGAGGAATCGAGTCAATAACCAACAGTGGAATTGCTGGATCCTATGATAGTTCTAGCTGTTGGTCTTTGAGAAAGCTTCATATTACTCTTCACAGTAGTTGTAATAATTTACATTTCCACCAGCAGTGTAGAAGAGGTCCCTTTTTACCTTAGCCTTGCCAGCACTTATCATTTTTTATTTTTTAAATCTTAGCATTCTGACTGGGGTTAGGTGGCATCTCATTGTTGTTTTGATCTGCATTTCCCTTATGATGAGGTATGCTGAGCATTTTTTCATATGCCTTTTGGCTCTTTGTATGTCATCTTTAGAGAGTGTTTTTTTTTTTCCAACTCATTCTCCCATCTTTTAATATGGCTGATTATCTTTTGGGTGCCTGTTTTTCTTTAGTTTTCTCTCTTTGTGTCAATTAAACAAACAGAAATATGAATTTTCCATTGTAATTAGGAGCTTGGTGTTCCAAAAAAAAGTCTGAGAAAGCAATTTAAGGAAAGTTGTTTTTCTTCCTCTCTATTTGGATATTCGTAGAAATTTATAAGTATTCTTAAAATTTAAATTTTCTTGTATATGGTATTTATTAATAGTATGAGCATTTAGAAATAATTTAGAATTTGGTTGGACTATAGTGAAGTATTTTCTCAAATTGACTGATTTTTTAAAAATAATTATTTTATTTAACTTTATGTTTATTCTTCAATTTGACCAGAGAGAGAGAGAGAGAGAGGAAGAGAGAGAAAGCGAGAAAGCATGCTGCCACAAACTGTGGTCAGCCATATTGGAGTCCAGTGCCCTTAACCAACATGCAACCTGCCAGCCCCATTGACTGACTTTTAAAAGATCATATTAAAGGTCAAACTTATAGCTCCTGCACCAGTCAAGGTATGATCTTGAGTTCTTGAGGCAAAAACCAGTAGGAATACTATTTCTTTCAGGGAATCAACTATAGAAGCCAGACTTCAAGACAGCACACTCAAGGGATCCCTGCCTTCTGGTATTTATGTTCTGGTATAAAGCACTCCCACAATGTATCATTCTTGGTCTATGTGACCAATAGAATATAACGGAAGTGATAATGTATGACTTTGATAGCGAGATCTGAAAAGATACTGCCACTTCTGCCTTGCTCTCTGGGGTTACTCTCTTTGGGGAGAGCCTACCATCATGGTTTGGTAACACGCAAGCAGGAAAGATGAGGAATTACAGTTTCCTGCCAATTAACCCACAGCAAATTTAAGTAACAGATACTCCAGGCCCAGGTAAATGTGGGATAAGCAAACCATTACCTCTTCTGGCCAACAAGCCTATTATCTATTTTTGTAATGAAAGCTTGTTGGAGTACAAGCGAGATCATTTCTTTATGTATTGTCTGTTTGAATTGTACACAGTGGTTGAATCTAGAACGTTCTCTGTAAGAAACTGAAGTAATAGAATCTTCAATCACTCTCTAGTTTGCTTTATATGTACAGGGAAACTCGGGCAAGAAAATCTTTCTGTGCCTCTATAAAATTGATACCATCTTAGTTCATAGAGTTATTGTGAGGATTAAATGACTTAGTAAGGGTATGATGGCTATAAGTATACCTAATAAAATGCAAAATTCAATACATACTAGCAATTCTTTCTCTCATTTAAATAAATGCAAATCCCAGGAAAATATTTTAAAAGTAATATCTGCTTATGCTGTTATCTCTACACTTCATTTTTACTTCATGCCTCATTTTATGCCAATGATTTCTCACATAGAAGGTGTTTTTAAAGACATTTACATTTACTGACAATTTTTCTGCCTGTGTTTTTGCATCCTTGACTTACTGGTATGGGTAAGGATTGCTGTAAGAATTCAGATGAAATATCTCTGTTGGACTGAAATAAGCATTCTTTTGCAATTTTATTCTGGTTATAGGATAGTAATGCAGTTGACTTACTTGCAAGTGTGAAAAACTTGCAGTTCAAAATTATTCATGTATTCAGACTTTTGGAGAGGTAGAAGGGAGTTTAGAGTATAAGGAATTTTAGAATAGTCACCAGTGAAATAAGTACAACTTTCACATACAATGACATCTATATAGTCACTGTCTTTGCTTTTTAAGGTCTAAAGTTCTTTATAGCTAAATATTACCAAGACTTTTCTCTCTCTATCTGAAGTTTTCTTCTATATCCTAATTAAATAAATAAAATTATTTATCTGAATCCTTTATTTAAACCCTGTGCTAGAATAAAGAATAAGTATTTGTGACTTGCAATTTTAACTTACAAAATACTACCGAGCAGGCTGTTGATCTACTTGAGAAGAAGAGTCTGGTGTGATTTTCATGGATTTTTAAAAAAAATTTTTTCTGTATCTTTATAAATAATAAAATCATAAAGATGTCAGCTGGAATAGGAGATTGTATTACCTTTTAGGACAATCCAAAGCATTCTATTTGAACTTTTCTTTCTTCACTTACCATATTGGATAATGTCATTAATGTAATATTGGGTTTATAATTTCAAACGCACTTTGACACATCTCATTTAATTCTGACAATATCCTTTTGAATATTTATTATTGCCCCCTTTGGATGGAAGAAACTAAGGTAAAGAAATTAGATCATTTGCCCCAGACTATAAATTAGTAAATGGAAGTCTTCTTTAAAATTCTTTTACTAAAATTAGTAAGAGAAGCCTCAAGCCTTCTTGTTTTCTTTTTCTTTTTCAATGTTTGCGTTTTATAGTTTTTATTTATTTATTTTTGATTGTAGTAGGTGCGTGCACTTGTGGAGGTGGAGAGAGCATCCCATAACAGGGCATAGTCATGTCACAATCTTTTTGTCTTCATTACTTTATCCCAATCAGGATTTTGTGTGTACACTTACGTATGTCCAGTATGTTTTTCAGGACACCTGCACTGAGATACAAACCATGGTTGGCCACGTGGGATCTGCTTTCTACGCACAGCACTTAACTGCTGTGCTTCCAGGGCTGGCCTGATATATTTTTCTATATCATAGCTTTTATATTTTGCCCAAATGTTTATAGACATTTTTCCACATTATAATGCTTCCATGTAAGAAATATATTTACCATAAATACTATATACACTAAAGTAATATATAGTAAACAATGAGTACTATAGAAATTAAAAATTAATGCAATAGTAAATAA